TTATTTATACTCACACCATTTCGAAATATAAAATATTTTATTGAAATTACGTCTTCAACATAGATTCTTGGATTAATTTAATGCTAATCGAAGCTCAAAATGTTTGAAAACAGAAGGCAATATTTGTTAAATGTGTTTGAATATAAAAAATAGTATTTAATACCTCGCTTGTTTTTATTCACCATCGAAAACCCATCCTGAGGTTATCCGGGAGATATTTGTAGGCCTCTTGAAACTGCGTGTGCTTTTGATGCAAGGTATGGGGGTAAATCTATCCTTACATACAAATTTAGATTGGGAATAGGAGCAGAAGTCATCTTTAGCAGGCAGTATTTTTTAAACGTTTTGGATATGAAAGATAGAATTTAAGTCCCTGATTGCGTTTCCTCACCATCGATGAATCCATTTTGCTGTTTTCCCTAACACCTCGTGTTGCACATGTTGGCAGTTGTATTACCCTTGAAACTGCATGTGTTTTTGATGCAGGAAATACGGATAGAATTTCAATTAGACGACGATCTTAGAACGGCATCTATCTTGCATACCTATCAGTACTTTTATTTTATGTATAATCACACCATTTCGGAGTATATAATAATTTATTGGAATTACGATTTCAACATAGATTCTTGGATTAATTTAATGCTAATCGGTGCTCAAAATGTTTGAAAACAGAAGGCAATATTTGTTTAATGTGTTTGAATATGAAAAATATTATATAATACCTCGCTTGTTTTTAGTCACGATCGAAAACACATCCTGAGGTTATCCTGGAGATATTTTTGTAGGTCTCTTGAAACTGCGTGTGTTTTTGAGGAAAGTCATGGGGAAAAATCTACCAATTCATACAAATTTGGTTTGGGAATAGGAGAAAAGTCATCTTCAGCAGGCAGTATTTTTTAAACGTTTTGGATATGAAAGATAGAATTTAGTCTTTGATTGGATTTCAAATTATAAAATATCTTATCGGACATCGGACTTAACATAGATTCTTGCCTTATCCTGGAAACATGTGTACGTCTCTTGAGACTGCGTGTGTTTTTTGAAGCAAAGTATGGGGACAAATCTATCCTTACATACAAATTTTGATTGGGAATAGGAGCAGAAGTCATATTTAGCAGGCAATATTTCTTAAACGCTTATGTGTATGGAAGATAGAATTTAATTCCTTAATTTCAAGAAAAGCTGGAAAATTTCCTATTAGACTACGATCTTAGAACGGCTTCTTTCTTACATACCTATCAATATTGTTATTTTATGTATACTCACACCATTTCGAAGTATAAAATATTTTATTGGAATTACGTCTTCAACATAGATTCTTGCATTAAATTAATGCCAATCGGTGCTCAAAATGTTTGAAAACAGGTGCAGAAGACTTATCCAGAAGACAATAAAGGCTCGTGTTGCACATGTTGGCAGTTGTATTACCCTTAAAACTGCATATGTTTTTGATGCAGGAAATAAGTATAGAATTTCAACTAGACGACGATCTTAGAACGCCGTCTATCTTGCATACCTATCAATACTTTTATTTTATGTATAATCACACCATTTCGGAGTATATAATAATTTATTGGAATTACGATTTCAACATAGATTCTTGCATTAAGTTTGTGCTAATCGGTGCTCAAGATGTTTGAAAACAGAAGTCAATGTTTGTTAAATGCGTTTGAATATTAAAAATTTTATTTAATACCTCGCTTGTTTTTAGTCACGATCGAAAACCCATCCTGAGGTTATCCTGGAGATATTTGCGGGTCTCTTGAAACTGCGTGTGTTTTTGAGGAAAGTCATGGGGAAAAATCTACTAATTCGGGAATAGGAGAAAAAGTCATCTTTAGCAGGCAATATTTTTCAAACGTTTTGGATATGAAAGATAGATTTTAATTTCCTGATTGGGTTTCCTCACCATCGATGAATACATTCTCTTGCTTTCCTTAAGAACTCGTGTTTCATATGTTGGCAGTTGTAGTACCCTTGAAATTGCATGCGTTTTTGATGCAGGAAATACGGATAGAATTTCACTCAGACCACGATTTAGAACGGCGTCCTTCTTGCATACCTATCAGTACTTTTTTATGTATACTTACACCATTTCGAAGTATAAAATATTTTATTTGAATTACGTCTTCAACATAGATTCTTGCATTAAATTAATGCTAATCGGTGCTCAAAATGTTTGAAAACAGACGCAGAAGACTTATCCAGGAGACAATAAAAGCTCGTGTTGCACATGTTGGCAGTTGTATTACCCTTAAAACTGCATATGTTTTTGATGCAGGAAATAAGGATAGAATTTCAATTAGATGACGATCTTAGAACGCCGTCTATCTTGCATACCTATCAGTACTTTTATTTTATGTACAATCACACCATTTCGGAGTATATAATAATTTATTGGAATTACGATTTCAACATAGATTCTTGCATTAAGTTTGTGCTAATCGGTGCTCAAAATGTTTGAAAACAGAAGGCAATGTTTGTTAAATGCGTTTGAATATTAAAAATATTATTTAATACCTCGCTTGTTTTTAGTCACGATCGAAAACCCATCCTGAGGTTATCCTGGAGATATTTGTGGGTCTCTTGAAACTGCGTGTGTTTTTAAGGAAAGTCATGGGGAAAAATCTGCTAATTCATACAAATTTAGTTTGGGAATAGGAGAAAAAGTCGTATTTAGCAGGCAATATTTTTCAAACGTTTTGGATATGAAAGATAGATTTTAATTTCCCGATTGGGTTTCCTCACCATCGATGAATACATTCTCTTGCTTTCCTTAAGAACTCGTGTTTCATATGTTGGCAGTTGTAGTACCCTTGAAATTGCATGCGTTTTTGATGCAGGAAATACGGATAGAATTTCAATCAGACCACGATCTTAGAACGGCGTCTTTCTTGCATACCTATCAGTACTTTTTTATGTATACTTACACCATTTCGAAGTATAAAATATTTTATTGGAATTACGACTTCAACATAGATTCTTGCATTAAGTTTGTGCTAATCGGTGCTCAAAATGTTTGAAATCAGAAGGCAATATTTGTTAAATGTGTTTGAATATGAAAAATATTATATAATACCTCGCTTGTTTTTAGTCACGATCGAAAACCCATCCTGAGGTTATCCTGGAGATATTTTTGTAGGTCTCTTGAAACTGCGTGTGTTTTTGAGGAAAGTCATGGGGAAAAATCTACCAATTCATACAAATTTAGTTTGGGAATAGGAGAAGAAGTCATCTTCAGCAGGCAGTATTTTTTAAACGTTTTGGATATGAAAGATAGAATTTAATCTTTGATTAGATTTCAAATTATAAAATATCTTATCGGACATCGGACTTAACATAGATTCTTGCCTTATCCTGGAAACATGTGTACGTCTCTTGAGACTGCGTGTGTTTTTTTAAGCAAAGTATGGGGACAAATCTATCCTTACATACAAATTTTGATTGGGAATAGGAGCAGAAGTCATATTTAGCAGGCAATATTTCTTAAACGCTTATGTGTATGGAAGATAGAATTTAATTCCTTAATTTCAAGAAAAGCTGGAAAATTTCCTATTAGACTACGATCTTAGAACGGCTTCTTTCTTGCATACCTATTAATATTGTTATTTTATGTATACTCACACCATTTCGAAGTATATTTAAAATTTTTGTCAATTTCAAGGGAAATACAACTGTCAACAAGTGTAATACGAGTCTTCGGGGAAACAACAAAATAGATTCGTCGATGTTGAGGAAACCCTATCAAAAAATTAGATTCTATCTTTCATATCCAAAAGCGATTAAGAAATATTGTCTGCTGTGCAAGGAAATCACAAAATTTATTTTTCGTTCGTGAGAAAAAACAAGCGAGGAATTAAATAATATTTTTCATATCCAAAAGTATTTAACAAATGTTGGCTTCTGAAAATAACTTCAGCTTCTATTTTTAAACATTTCCAGCACCGATTAACACTTACTTAATGCAAGAATCTATGTTGAAAACGTAATTCCAATAAAATATTACATACATTCCCAAACTAAATTTGTATGAATTGGTAGATTTTTTCCGCATGCCTTGCCTCAAAAACACACGCAGTTTGTAGAGACCAAGAAATATCTCCTGGAAAAACACAGTACGGTTTCGATCGTGACTAAAAACAAGCGTGGAATTTAATAATATTTTTCATATCCAAACGCATTTAACAAATATTGCCTTCTGCATATGATTTCTGTTTTCAATCATTTTGAGCATCGATTAGCACTATCTTAATACAAGAATCTATGTTGAAGACGTAATTCCAATAAAATATTTTATGCTTCGAGATGGCGTGAGTATACATAAAATAAAAGTACTGATTGGTATGCAAGAAAGAAGCCGTTCTAAGATCGTAGCCTTATTGAAATTCTTTCTGCATTTCCTGCATCAAAAACGCATGCAAATTCTAGGGCAAAACAAATGCCAACGATTGAAACACGAGTTCTTAAGGAAAACAAGAAAATGGATTCATCGATGGTGAGGAAACCCAATCAAGGAATTTAATTCTATCTTCCTTATCCGCATGCCTTGCCTCAAAAACACACGCAGTTTGATCACTTTCAAAATACATGGAAAGTTATATTTGGAATGCCTTTTTACGTTTAAATATACATTAAATTAATTTTTTTTATTTTTTAAAATTCTTCGAGTTTTATTCAATATTTTCAATATATACTCATTTAAAAAACGAATAGTTTGCCGTACGTTAGTCACTTTTTGTAAGCTCCGTGAAATATTTTGCCCCGTTTCTTGATGCTGCGTTGTATGGATACTGAAAATCATTGTCAAATTTTGTGACGACTCCCTTTACAAAACACATATAATGTATTTCAATAGTATACATTAATATTGTGTAGGATTAAAATTCTACATGTGACCTAAAAATTGTAACTTTGCTATACATTGTTCCACAACAACGCAAATATATATTGTATTTGTCTTTTTTTTAATTATAATTAAGGGGAAATGTGAAGACAAATTGTTTATTTATGTTTTTATTTATACCATTTATATTAATCTGCATATGTTTTTGCTATTACTGGCTTTCTCTTAAGTCTCTTTCAAAACAAAATACCATCAAATAGTTTTAGCACTAACCTTAAAATTAAGTTCACTATATTAAATACAATTATTTTAATAACAAATTGGAACTGTAAACTAATATCCAAAGTATAATCTTTTTACCCCTTATTCTTAACAAAAACTTACTCGACGTCTATACTGTTTGGTGGATTGTGTAATTTTAATGCCTTCTAATAAATTATGTTTGAGAAGATGTGTTAAAAAGTATATATTCCCGAATGGTATTAGAATTGTAACAAATATGCGTACAAAAAAAAATACAATTTATATGTTAGAATGCAGACGATTGCGAGTTCCGTTAAAACTCCATTTCCTGGTTTTTGAAAACTACACTTACTTTAAAAACACAAAGCTTATAAGGTTCAAATATCAAATTTCTGTATTAAAATATGTTTCTTAAGACAATATTAAAAATGTGAACCGCATAATTATTACAAGCGTTTAATCCAAAAAAGTTGCTTATAATTTCAACAATACGCACTGTACACAGACAGACTAAATTTTTGTTATGAAATAGGTGGTTAATGCATTTGATAATAAATTTACAAATATAAATTAATAAAGAAAATGTGCCCAATACTAATTAATTTAGTAATTCAGCATTCACTTAAACAAACTTGAAGTAATTTAAACAATTTCAAAAATATGTCTTTCACGTTATCCAAGTTGCGCTGTGTTAATTCGCACTATGTTTTCATGTTAAGCAGAAAACAATTGTTTAAGAGTGATTATAGCTATGAAAGAAGAACTAAAATGAATTCATAAGACCTTCTGTGTGTTTGAAACTTTACATAAAATAATAATTTTTTTTCATTGTTCTATTTTTACCATTAACTTTTTATATTTAAGTTCAAAGCGTAATAAGGAAGTGTAGTTTCGGTATGAAATTTAGAACATGCGTGTACAATTTGAAATGGTAGTATTATTGGTATTTGTATAGATTAATAAATAATTTTGTGTTCCTAATATTGCTGTACTAAAATTTTCATTCAATGAGAAATTGTTTTGATCCATATTAGATCGTGATGTATGAAAAATTAAAGACAGTACACGAATAAACTTTTCGTGTAGTGCATACTTGTTACCGGCTAAAACTGCACCTAGTTGTTTAGTCAATTTCATGAGGCATACATGCGATTGATGTCGTGCTGATATTTGTCTTGAATGTCTTTGCGCTTCAGTTTAAAAGCAGCAGTTACAAGCCCCATGTCTGGTGACCAGACTTCCTTGCAGAGTGTAATGGCAGCGGGGACTTCGAACTTTTGAAGTTTACCTAAAAATTGAAAAGGCGATAGTTAACGCAGGATCCATTATTATTTGTATTTCGTACATACATTTGCGAGCATGTTCAGCGATTTCTTTAATAACTGCCTTTTCAATTTCTGAACTCGAGCAAAGCTCTTCAAATGTTTTGCCTTCAAGACCATGACGAAGAGATAACTCTTCCAAGTGCTTCTGATTGGGTACAACTAGAGCAACAGTAAACTGCTTGGTAGGATCACCATATACGCAAATATTTTCAACCAGTGGACATGTCTTAAGCTCCGATTCTACTTTTCCAAGGGAAACGTATTCACCAGCTTGCAGCTTGACCAAGTCCTTTTTGCGATCTGAAACGGAAAAAAAAAACTTAATTTCTCAAGCAAAATCATAAATTTTAACTGGCTTTACCAATAATTTTAAGTACGCCATCTGGATGCATTTCACCAATATCTCCGGTTTTGAACCAGCGTTTTCCATCTTCTTCAAAGAACTCTTCGGCTGTTTTGTTTGGTAGCTTATAATAACCCATGGAAACACATTCACCCCCAACAAGAACTTCTCCCTAAAAAGAGGAAGAGTTGATTTTTCTTGTAATAAATTTCATTGGATACACATACTTGGGGATTGGGTTTATTTGTGACTCGGTACCCTCCTTCTTCCCAATTGACTAAGCGTATATCACAAACTGTTAATGGGGCGCCAACACGACCATACTGCATATCGCGATCTATAAAAAACAAAAGGTGAGCGATTTTATTAAATGAAAGCAAGTTTCAAAACTTGTATTACAATCCATAACCGTTGCTCCCGATGTGGTTTCAGTTAAGCCGTAACCTTGAATTAAATCAACGCACAAACAAGTTTTTATCTGCTCGTGTGTATCGGGTGAAAGTGGTGCACCGCCTGACATCATAATTCGAACGCGTCCGCCCATAAGTTTGGCAACTTTTTTAAAAACCAACCTAGAATATTTTATAATAAATACGAATCACTTTTTTAATAAAATTAAAGTTTAGCTACCTATCAATCAAAGGAGTCTGGTAACCTTTCTGAGTCCATTTCACTTTGTATTGGTAAAGAAACTGGAACAAAGCTTTTTTAAAGGCGGAACCGGAGTTCACCTTATCGTTTATGCCTTTTGAAATACGATCTAATATAAGCTAAAAGGTAGAATGCTGTTAAGAAAAAGCTAATAATAATGTGTATTTACTTACTGGGACAGTGGTCATACAAGTTGGTTTTAAGACGGTGGCATCTCCTTTGGAGCCTCTCATAATTTTACTGCTAGTATCTATCAAAGTCAATGGCGTGGAATATCCAATTGGCACGCCTGTCATTAAACAAACACTTTCGGCTACCAATTCAAAAACATGGGCAAGAGGAAGAAATCTACAAAAATCATTATTTTCATATTAAATTTTATAATACAGTCTATCGGTCGAAATACTGTGCATCAACAATTTTTAAATATATAGAAGGATTTAAATAAAGCTTACCCTATTAAAACATCGTCGGGATAGATTGGAACAACGTCACAAAAACCTTTCATTGTTGCAATGCAGTTTTTATGGGACAATAAGACTCCCTTTGGTGTGCCTGTTGAGCCAGAAGTATACATGATGATGGCAATGTCATCGCCCTTAGGAGGAACGCTTTCTAGAATAGTATTGTTTAGTATATTCGTTGATTGAGGTACTATTGTTGACTTACCGAATTTGCTATCTTGGCCAAGACGTGTTACTTGTGAAAATGGAATAATTTTAACGCCTTCTTTGAATCCTGATGTGTCAGTTTTGTGCAACTGATCTTCCATGTATATAATTGTATTAACGTTTGGACATTTATCCAAAAGCAACTTGAATTTAGGCAGTAAATCATGGGATGTAATAACGGTTGTTACTTCAGTTTCGCTTATGCAGTGAGCCACGCCTTCGTCGCCCAGTGTTGCATAAACAGTAACAATTGACATGGATTGCTTGAAGCAGCCGTGAGCAGCAATCATCCATTCAGCACGAGTTTCGGCAAATATTACGATATTCCTTCGGGGTTCTTGGCCACATTCGCGTAAACCACGTCCGAATGCGGCAGCTAACCGTTCAGATTCGATAAAGTTTTTCCATTTGTATTCACCCATTTTGTATTTTTTAAAAACTCTGCCGTTGGGTTGGACTTCATCTTCTTCACTTAAAATTTGACGAGTTCCCAGACACCGCTTCGATGAATGTGTTTTAGCAACGTAATTGAAAACCTTTTCAAGCGTGTCTATGTTGTCCTGCAACATTTTAATGTGAACATCACGTGGAGGTTCAATTGTCCGATAACTTAATGCGGTTTCGTCATTAGACACAATTTTTGCCTAAAATTATAAGTACAAAATCACGATGAATTCAATTGACAGATAGAAATTTTAAAATAAGACGAAAACTTCAGCATTTGAAAGAAACAAATTCGACTTGATCTGTGGCAAAGTGAAGTTATTTTAAATTTTACAAGCTGAGCCCGGGGTGCTTTGCAACCCCAATTCGATATTTCAATTTATTTTGTTATTATTTTAATTCCTTCTATCATTGAATACTTTTTACATATAAAATGCATATTATAATTCTGCCCATTTAGCCTTTTTGTATTTCTGGTAAGACACAGTTAGTATGAACATATTTAACAGCCAAAACGTACACATGTTTATTTCGCCTGCTGAAAGTTTCGAATATGGACTATAGCGAATAAGTCACAGTACATGCTGCAAGTAGTAACAGATCCACTTGCTTTTACTGACGCTTCCCATTTAAAGACTGTACGTAAAGGTAGAGTTCTTCTTAGAAATTATTTCTAAAAAATATTCCGGTTTCTTACTGAAATGAGACATTTCGAGTTTAGGGTCTGCAAAATAATTTCTTGACGAAAAGTTTCAAAATTTTGTAAATGATTAATTTTTATTGATATAAAGCAGTAACTAATATTGCAGATAATTTCAAATTTGAAAATAACATTTATTCAAAATCCAGCAACTCTCATTTAAAAACATGTCGAAATTTTTCTCTAATATCCTCTTATATACTAGACTTTTGAACAAATGAAAAAATACAGCTAGTATAATATATGGTAAGAATTGTTACCCGATATCGTACAGGCAATTCCTCTTTTGTTTTTTTTTATACAAAAATAAAAAAAAATTACAGAAATCGCATTTTCATTGCTGTAAATAATTATCTTATATAAATGCAGAAGACAAGTTCAAAAGAGAACGATAAAAATTGCGAGTAAACTCGTCTAGTTTAAGTCAGGACTAGTGTATTAAGTTTTTTTTTAATTGCTCCAAAAGTTTGTGACAGATTTTATTTCAATTGGCCCTTTCTCGTATCATCACTGCAATTTACATAACAATTTTAAATTTTGAATCCCAACAAATGAGAATTTCTCAAATCATAAGTTTTTTAAAGCTTTACTCTTCGTGTGGTATTGTATTTGACTTTATTTTTGGTTGAAAAAATTCTTGATCAGCGTAAAATTCTAATTCGACTTAGCTATATCCGTCTCTCTGCCTGCCCGTCTGTCTTTTGTAATCACGCTATCTTTCGAACGAATTAAGATGAAGGCTAAAATTTTCCACACGTGTTTATTTTTCCAGTAGGCAGGTTAAGTTCGTAAATGGGCCACATGTAGGTCCACGTCTTCGTATAGCCCCCATATAACGGTACCTCCCGATATTCGGTATTTTGAAGATTTTAGCGGCATTATTCACTTGAATTTTTTCAAATTTGGTATTTGAAGTTCGAAAGGGATACTACAGTATAAGACAGAAAATTGTCTGTGCAGGTCCACGTCTTCGTATAGCCCCCATATAACGGTACCTCTCTATATTCGGTATTTTGACGATTGTAGCGACATTATTCACCGGAATTGTTTCAAATTTGGTATAAGTTCGTAATGGGTACTACAGCCCCCAAGATAGAAAATTGTCTGTGCAGGTCTACGTCTTCGTATAGCCCCCATATAACGGTTTGGTATAAGTTCGTAATGGATACTACAGCCCCCAAGACAGAAAATTGTCTGTGCAGGTCTACGTCTTCGTATAGCCCCCATATAACGGTTTCTCCCAATATTCGGTATTTTGATGATTTTAGGGCCATTATTCACCGGAATTGTTTCAAATTACGTATTTAGTGTTCGTAATGGGAACAACAGTCTGTGATAGAAAATTTTCTATGCAGGTCCAGGTCGTATAGGCCCCATATATCAGTACCTCCCTATATTCGGTATTTTGACGAATTTAGATACAATACCCACCGAAATTGTTTGAGATGCCGTATTAGAAGTTCGTAATGGATGCTACAGCCTATGACAGAAAATTGTCCATGCTGGTCCAGGTCTTCGCACAGCTCCGATATAACGGTACCTCCCTATATACGATATTTTGATGATTTTAGCTACATTCTTCACCGTTTATTTCAAGTTTCGATTTTTAATATGGTAATGGCTTATGACAAACAATGCCTATGTAGGTCCACGATGTATAGACCCCAATATAACGGCTATATTCGGTATTTTTAATATTTTAACAGAATTGTTTAAAGGTTTTATTTTTTAAAAATTTCCAAATTCGTTCCAAATGGTGGAGGGTATTCAAAGTTCGGCCCGGCCGAACTTACTGCTATTTAACTTGTTCTTTGTGTGCTATGTACTGATGTGCTCTTACTTTCATTTATTAAATCGACTAAAAATGGATAAGACAGTGTGGTCCTTTCATTTGTGCGACGTCATCAAATCTCATAATGCGATAAAATTTACAAAAATTCTAACAGATAAATTTGAAAGCAATTTTTTGGTCGGTTGAATTTTTATATTTAACTGTCGTGAGGAGTTTTTATTTTTAGTGTTTTATTTTTATATTTTACTAACCTTAACTCGTTTCGCTTCTTGTCTACGTTTCCATGGCCTTTGTAAGACCAAATAAACTGGTAATGTGATTATATCACAAACAAATGCAAAGGCCTTAATGGCCCCAATAGCACTCTGTATCCAGAAACTTTCCATGCTAAAAGTAAAAAAGATGTATAGTTAGTACAGGAAAAACTTAAAATGTATATATTTGTGTGTCATTTTAATTTTAGTCTTATTAATTCTGACATTATCGAATGGACCACGTTTATTCAAATTAATGAATAATTGAATGCACAGAGAGTAATGAATGTGAAGTTCTATAAAAAAACAATAAAGACAAACACATATTGAAGTGGTAAAAGCAGACAGCAACAAACATAAAATGGATTATAGATTAATAAAGTGTACCGGTGGCATTCTTCTTCTGTAGTTCTAATAAAATGTTATTATTTATGTGCAAATTTACTTTAAAAATCGACTAAGATTTATATCTATTTATATTTATTAAAAGATTACTAATCCATTTATAATGCACTAAATTTATCAGCCAAGGAGTAAAACCCACGGAAATGTTGTACGAAGTTGACACGTCATATAGGTAGATTGGTATGTATAAAGAAACTGATTAGGTGGAATTTTATTGGAGAATACAACGTTTATGTTGCTTTTTTGTCTTTCGAAATTACTTTATTATGATGTAGAGAATGATATGGATACTTACTGTGCATCATCTTCGATGAACATCTTTATTTGCTCTCAAATATTCCTTAATGCAGGACTATTACGATTGTTTCTACTTTACGGAGCTAATAGCTATATTTTCTAAAATTTATTAATGCAAATAGTATTCAGGTATCTCCTTAACCGCTTTATCCTTGTCTTGAGTTAGCTGCAGTATAATCTGGTGTATATAGATTTTGAATGGATTATGATTTAGATTTAGTTAATGATTGAATATATGTATGCACTCTCTTTCCATATGCAGGTTGAGTTCCAACATCAATTATATCTATAATGTACAAGAAGACAAACTTATCAGACACACAGTCACACTGACATATGAAATGAATTATAGCGATAATATCCATTTAATGATGACGGAAATCAATTTAAATGTAGAAATTAATCAAATAAATAACCAATCGTGGACCAAAAAGATTAATATAAACTAATTTTTACAGATGACAATGACAGTGATCTGAAATATGTAATAATAAAGCAAATTGATAGATGTGGAATTTTATTTGTACTCGAAAGACATGACCGGAAAAAATACAAGTATTGTCGCGTGATATGGACGAGTAAAAAAATCAAAATTGAGGCTATTTACAGCGTAAATTGTGACAAAAATATTTGGTTATTGCTCCGCGAATTATTATTATACTTCTTTCATATTGAAAACGTCAAATATAGAACGTATACGCGTACTGATATACATGGGGGAACTATACTATCATGCCAACATACTTGATTTGTTTAAGTGGCATAAATTACTAATGCACAAACGAACACCTAATAGGATGGTGTATTTTTTAGATTACCATTGAAAACATTAGAATATATTAATTTGCCTTTATTTAACCGCTTCGAATAATAATGTTGAGGTCATCTAATTATCCATGAAGATATCACCTTTAAGAGTTTCACAAATAATATACATCTGAACATCCTGTATATTAAGCTAATACTGATTATTATTTGCATTGCATCTGCGATTATATAGAAATTGAAAACATAATTGTATTGCATTCGGCGATGAAGTTTCATTTTTTGCCAATTGTTTTTATGCATTTAAAATTATTTTTCAAGAAAGCAGTCTGTCAGTTCAACATGGTACAATAGTTTTACAAACATCGAGATGTCGTGAAGGTTAATTTTCATGCTATAAATATGTATGCTGCAAGACATTCGAATTTAAATAAAATGCCTTGCTTAGTGACATAAGTTCAAGAGAGAAACGGGTACATACATACGTATATCTAAATAGGTATAATTGGCATGAGAACACACAATTTTACCGATAAATTAATTTTGCCGTATACAACAAACATTATATTTTGTTTTAAGTTTTATTGTTAGTTTAATTTTTAATGTGATCTATTGACTACGGAACTGCAGTGTTACATTTCTAAGCTTTACACAATGTACAATAGTTCGTTCTTTGAAAATGTTAAATGAAATTTCCATAAACTAGCGTATTTTATGAATTTTGATTTGATGCAAGATGTTGTGGAAATGCTTTTATTTAATATAGATTACTGAGCGTGCGGATTTATGCTCGCACCATATTTTTAGGGGTATATTAAGTTTGCATTCCGGCTGTAGCTCAACGAAATAACCATTTTAGAAAAAAAATTATTTTGACCATCGTAAAATTCTAAGTTAATACAAAAAGTTCACCCATCATTCTGTTTAAATCGGGCTGGGATCCACAAGACTTGCGTATTTTTCATACAGCTGTATTTTGCCCGCAGAAAGATTCAGTTCTAATATGGGCTATATCAGTAAAAGTTTTTCTATAGCCCCCATATAATGGTATTCCCTAACATTCGATATTTTGATGATTATATTCACTTTTTCCAAGAGAATTTTTTAATGTTCCATATTTCGAGTTTGCAACACTTTCTAAGTCCTGTGGAAATACATTTTCTATATAGGCCCACGCATTCAACACTACCATATAACGGTATTCAGTATTATGCTGGTTTCAGCAATATTTCTCAACAGAATTGTTTTAAATTTGATGTTTATAGCACCTAATGGGATCTACCTTCTGTTGCAGATCCACGTTTTTCTATATCTGGATTTAACGATACTTTTCAATATTCGGTATTTTTATGAACAATTTGTGTAACACTACAGATATATTTATGTATGTAATGATTGTACAATAACGCCTTGCACATCACTTAAAGAGAACGACATAAGTATTCATGTGTAAATATATAATAAATCCGCTTGAAGCCTCTATGTGCCATTAATACTAAATTAAAAAATTGCCTCAATCGAAAACAAAATTTAAGAAGAATGGTTGGGTAACATGATCGGGGGTCCAAAGTTTCTATGTCTGCATCTTTCTAAACAAGCATATTAAAGAAATTCCAATAACTTACCTGATTGGGAGGAAGTGTTTTTTTGTCGTTTTCAAATTTGTGCAGGTTCAGTAAAGACAGGAGCATGTAATAAAAAAGTGAAGAAATATTTATTTGATTGTGACTCTATGTTTAACTGTAAATATACACGAATTAAGCGGAAGGATTGCACTTTAACCTTCTTTGCTTTTCAAGACGCAACAAAATAAGGCATTCTAGAAACAGAGAATTAAATCTTTATACGCACGCAGACAATTTAGTATTCTTAGGTTGAAAATAACACAGAAAACTTTCACAATAAATTATACAATGCACTTGTTTTTGCGTACATATAGAAGACCTTTAAAATACTTTTTCCGATTACAAATATTTTTTCTTTCCAATTACGTGAATTCACTGAAGTAAACCTGAGTATGTCGGCTGTGTCTCATTTCTCTCTCATTATTGACCCGTTAGGCTATCGTAAACGCAAAGTAATTGTAGCTTAAATTATAAAATTGAAACAAATTATTTTAAAGCTACTAAAACTAAATTTTGTAAAAACAGTAGTTGAATACGATTTAACAAGTAAATGCGGCCATTACTATACAATATTTTAATAATCAGTTTGTATGTACTATAGCGAAGGTGCAATCCATTGAGCAATATTTGTTTTTAAGATAAAAATGCACCTATGCAGCAACGTTACAGTTACAATTCACTATCTAAATTTTAAGAAGCAATTGAGAGAGGATGTTATCGGCGTACATTCTCGTACTGCGTCTACCCATTGCGATTAGTTTTATTTCGTCAAAAACCAATGTAATTTCCTTGCAGAAATGTACCCTATTTTATTTTGTTATTTTTCAGTATAAATATTTAGTTCAAATTATTAATATTTTAACACATACACTCAATTTAGCTCCCGAATCTCACTTGTTTATCTCTCACGTGGAGAAAAAACTTGAACTGTCAAAATGATATGGTGTGATTCGAGCGTTACCAGACAGTAAATTATTCGATTACCCGGTAGCTAGTAGTTTATAATGTAACTTGAGCGTTTCAAAAATGGCAACATTTGATGTTAATCACCATTCAGGAAAACACAAATACAACTATTAGGTAGTCACATAATTTTCTGAGAAAATGCTTTTATTAAAAATCAATTAAAGCCAAGGCGCTTTAATCAAATCACACGTCGTCCTAAAGAACGCTAAAATTGCATTAAATTCGCGTTACAAAATATTTACGACTCGCCTTTGTTTTATTTTATCCATAACTCTCTTCGAAACAATTTCATTCTACTTTGTCCTTAGAACATATGTTTTAACAATTTCTAAAGTTTACTTTTATTATTTTTTTCCTTCATATATGTTAAAAGTTTTCCAACTTTTTTTCATACAGAAGCACACATATACAAGTTTTATTGAATAGGTATTGTTGTCAGCAAATTTTACAACAAGTAATCTGATTTTGAACGTCGTAATGATTGACGTAGTAAAATACAACTTTGGTTCGTGACAATTTTTCTTGAGTAGACGACAGTTAAAAACTCAACATTTTATTCCTAACGAACGTTGTAAACAAACGTTTTAATTATAACAAAATGGAATATATTCAATACACACGAAATACAGCTGTCGCATGAAAATGTCAGCTGTGCTTTCGACGAAATTGCGTTTCTAATCCCCTAATATTCGTTTTCGATAGTTTTTGTTTTCATTTCTGCCTTAATCCATTGCTTCTTTTGGCCCTGCATCTGAGTAATCTGGAAATCTCATCATTCATAGATTTCTTTATTAAAAATTCAAAATAACATCAAAATTAGTACGAAACATCCTTGCCACTCGTCTTTTCATTAAGATAATGGGATTGTCAAAAGAACAAGAAAGGAATATAGTCGAAAATGTTATTCGTTTAGAAGACATAGCACTGCTTTGGAATGATAATTGCAAGATGAAGAACCCAGAGCGGGTGAAACAAATATTTAATGAATTTGTAATGGGTGGTCCTGATAGACTGCAGGTGGTTTCAGATTTTGACTATACTATTACCAAACAGCGTAAAAGTGATGGATCTCCAGTTCTAAGCAGCTTTGGAATATTGAATGCATGTGAATCCTTGCCAACAAAATTTATTGAGGAGTCCAACAACCTACATAATAAGTATCGACCCATTGAAATTGATCCGCACTTACCTATGGATGAAAAAGTTCAATGCATGATTGAGTGGTGGACGAAAACAGGAGAATTGTTGGTGTAAGTGTGTAAATGTAATGTTTAATCCTATAAGAATTTAAGTGTAATTCTAAATTACAGAGGCTTCAAATTGGAACAAAGTGAAATTGATGCAGTAGCCAGCAAATACAAGGATTCACTGCGAGATAATTCACATAAACTTTTTGACACTTTGAACAGATTAAACATACCAGTCCTAGTATTTTCTGCTGGCTTGGGAAACTCTGTCATTTCAGTTTTGAAACAAGCCAATGTAATGTATCCCAACGTGAGTGTAATTTCCAATTTTTTGCAATACAAAAACGGTTTGCTCGATGGTTTTCAAAAACCTATGATACACAGTTTCAACAAGAACGAAACTGCTCTTGACCGTCATAAGTACTACGATTTGGTTCATAACCGTGACCACATTATTGTTATGGGGGATTCTCTTGGAGACGCTGACATGGCAAATGGTGTACCGGCTTCCTCACATATTATAAAAATTGGATTTCTTTACGACCACGTATGATTTATTAGTTTTCTTAATTCGAAAGGCAAAGATGACAAATTTAATTTTTACAGGCTGAAGAAAGTTTGGAGAAATACATGAATACTTTTGATATTGTGTTGATTGATGACCAAACAATGAATGTACCATTAGCATTGTTGGAGGCTGTGGAAAAAAAGGAAGCCGTTCGCAACATTTAGACGACGTTTGCATGCAAGCATAAAACATAAAGGTTGATATTTAAAATATATAGTAACGAGAGATCCCTCTAGGTATCTGATTCAAATTATTGCAATTTTATAAATTTGTTCATTATGTGTTGCATGTTTTATCGTTATTTTTATATAAATAATGAAAATAAAAAGTTAGTCTGCATATTTTCCCCATAATTTTTACTCTGCAAGTTCTTTCGAGAGAGCAATACAATTCTTATTCATAATTCCAAAGAAAGAATAGCCTAATGCGAGTTGAGACTCAACCTGAGTAGCCGAAGATCTTTAATGCAATGTGAGGTGAACGTATAGGTGCTCTTCAATTCGCCACATCACACTCTATGTGATACGAAAATTTGTCGTTAAAATAAATTCAGAATTTCTTCCGATTAGTTACGGTTGATATGTTATACGAGACTAAGCTTTTATCGTTTATTCTCCCAGGGTTCGAGTGTGATTTTACCGTTCCACACACTTCAGATATTGTAGTACTATTTTTTTTTGTGCTTCTGTACCAAACCGGTTGACCTCCAATATCAGCAATAGCAAGCGGCTGCGCCTGTGACGACGGCTTGGAAACTCTTTTCTGCTAGACAAAGAACAGGGGGATATCAGAAGCGTCATTTGGTGAAATCTCTGAATTCAGTTCAGTGAGGTTTTCTGTGGCAAAGGAAGGTGTAGCATTCAGAAATTATGAAGCCGGAAGATCTGCATTAAGAGACAATTATGAGGAAAAGGTTTGACCAAAGAAAAATGACGGGTGGCCACCTTTAGTCATTTATCACACCAACTAACCTGTGGTAAAGACATCCTTTAACCTTAGGGTTAATTCAGAGGAACTGTGACACTCTCCACTTATTCGGGTAGGGGCATTCCCATTTGCTGTGCAGTTTGTGGTGCAATAAATCTTCTTTCTTCTTGGTAATTATTTAGCACGGAATGCCACTAGCGGTGGTGGGCATTGAAATCGCTTAGTACTAAGCACTTATTTGGAAGTCAGTTATTGTTTTTCAAAATCCACAAATCATGCGGTTCATAAAAATTAATCTGCCGGATAAACGTCTTAGCAAGTCTACTTTGGCAGTTCCATACTTGACCGTTAGCGGTGGTGGGCATTAAAATCTCTTAGTACTAAGCACTTATTTGGAAGTCAGTTATTGTTTTTCAAAATCCACAAATCATGCGGTTCATAAAAATTAATCTGTTTTTGTCATAGGAGTTGCTTTTAAAAAACTTCTGGGAGAACATCCCCTGACAAAAAACAAGGGAACTGACAAAGGGCGGAGACTTTTTCCAAAACTATGGTATTCCCTATCTTACCCTTGGTAATCATTGCTATTTTTCTCTACTAATAAAACCAAAATGGTATTAAGCTAACTACGTTTTCATAACAAATAAAAAAAGGAGAAAAACAAGATATAGGCATCAAATTTATCTTTAAAGACGTACATCCCATCATTATCTATAAGTTTCCTAAAAACCTCTAATGGCTAAACAAATTTGTAATTATAACGTTGGATTTTCAAAAATGTGCGAAAAATTAAAGTACTAAATACTAATACAATTACCCAATGTACTTTCAGCGATTAAAACATGTAATACTCTTTTAAACACACATTTCGTCTCATGAAAACGTGCTGATTTTAGTCTTCAAAAATAATCGACTGTCTGTGCTGACTACTAATACACATATCCAATCATTATTTCCAAATGGAAAAACAAGGTATAGGCATAAAATTTATCTATAAAGACGTACATTCCATCATCATCCATAAGTTTCCTATAAGCATCTAATGGCCAAGCAAAATTGTAATTAAATTGTTGGAATTACAAAGACAAGCGAATAATAAAAGTTCTGACTACTAACACATTTACCCAATTTACTTTTAGCGATTAAAACATGTAATACTTTTTTAAACATACATTTAGTCCCAGGAAAACGTGCTGATTTAAGTTTTCAAAAATAATTGACTGCCTGTGCTGACTACAAGCACATTTATCCAATTTCCTTTCAACGCTTAAAAAAAAATTAATATTATTTTAAACGTGCATTCAATCTCATGGAAACGGTTGATTTCAACTTTCAAAAACAATTGACTGTCTGTGTTGCCTGCGTTGTATTACTGTTGAAATGAAGCCATTCGAAATTGTTCTAAAGAGCAGTGTCGTTATCCAAATACGTCGGGCGTACAAAATTTTAAAAAAGAAAGAAAGAAAAAAAAAGAACTTTGACAATTGAATCGGTTATTTTCTTGTGTGAATGATATGATGAGATGAATGATACAAAAAATGTAAATGTTTGGAATTGAAAAATATAACAATTGTATAATTTTTAAAACTATCAATTTTTACAATGTTATAAGTCAGTAGATCTTAAGATATGAACCTGTAGTAACATTTTACTATAGTTGGGAGTTTTCATTTCATTTCCTTTATTTCATACAATTCAATATAAATAAGCCAACATGGCCAAAATCTTATATTATCATATAACAGTATAAAAACAGCCCATAACCAAATCAATCTAAAAAAAAAAAACTAAATAAATAACAAAAATTATCAACGAATAGTAATATATATACAAAAAAAAAAAAGAACAATAATTTAAATTTAGTAGCAATTTAGTAATTAGACCCTCAGATACAACTCCTCTACCAAGCTGAACAACAGTTTAGCAAGGTAGAGAGGAAAAAGACATGACACATCAATACACTTAAGCGCTAATCATCACTCGTTTCCAACCCAGCGAATGTAACTACCGCAAGTATAGCAAAAAAAATCCTTAAAAAGAGAAAAAAAAAAAAAACAATAAAATTATGTACTACATGGAAAATAAACAACCATAAAAATGGCCCCCCCCAGCAAATAACTAAAAAGAAATAACAAAAAATAACCCGCAACCAGAAACTCAATGAACAGACAAATATTCAAAACACCTCTTCTTGTACATATCAAAAGAACAGGTAAAATTACGCAGGGTCAGAGGAAGCTGATTCCACAATCTCGCAACTCTCACATCAAACGCCTTCTCACCAACTACAGACGAGAAGTTGGAGTTGAATATTTATGTACGCTACGTCGAATTTTGGGTAACGTTATAGAAAAATATCTAAAATTGATTTGCGAATTTTAAAACCATTATGCATATTCTGTAACATTTAACTACCCTTGTTGTTGTTTATTTAATAACTAGCTTTTGTTGTTTGCAGTTACGATGCTGCTATTCTGCAGAAATTTGGACAAACTGTCGATAAACTTTCAAAAGCGTTCAAGTTTCAAATATTTTAAAACTAAAACTGCATACAAAATGCAAGGCAAATCCAATATTGAACATTTTTGTCGATACATTAACAACTACAATCTTTGTGTTCTTCTTATAAGGACGACAAAACAATAGTTGATAACACTAGTAAAAAATTGCAATTGTGTTAATTTTGTCATAAAAGGGAAACACTGGGTAAAATAAATAATTTAATGGCAACGGGGCGGAAACTGCAACTTATATATCATACAGAAACGTGAAAAATTAAAGAAAAAATAATAACAAAAGTACAAAAACTACAATATACAATGATACATGCTGACTTCAACCTAACGATTTACCACACCAACAACTACAACTTCAGGGAAATGCAATAAATTAGGCGCTATCAGCATACGGTTAACACGGAGAGAACAATTCCCAAATGTAAAATTTTTTAAGTGATGTTAACCTTGAATATAATAAATTAAAATGCAACTTGAACGACCAATTTATATCAGTTAGTACACTCACATAGTTCATCTTACTTACAACATCTGTAAAGCTTTTACAGATATCAAACCATCGGGTATACTTCCAAAATACATTGCCTTAATTTTATTCGAATTAAGACTTAAACCATTATCGGACAGGATGTTCAGTCTAAAAACATACTAGATTTTATAGCGTTCTGTAATAAATATAGCAGCACAAATCAACGTCGTCCGCAAGCGAGAAAGCAAACAACGTCTACTAGCTACACATCTAAAATATACATGATAAATACCTCTACCAATATTTTCTGGAGCAGTTTACAATTTTATAGGAAAATATCAAATTAAGGAAGGCATTATCTGCAATCTCTAAATTATTATCACACATGACAACAATTTGTCACGAAGCTTTGAGAAGCGATAGGTTGAACACTATAATAATATGCAAAATCCTCCTCCATCATATTAATCAACTTAAGACCCGGTAACAATAACAACTAAGAAAATATCTTTTCACATCTCTCTGCTTTTCTTTTGAGGTACCATAAAATTCTGCCAGACGTTTTCAAAACGACAAATAAATACATACAAAATGAAACATATGTTTTCATTATAGTGATTTTTATTAATATATTTCGGAAAATATACATTAATAAACAAATTTGGAATGGATAGACAACACAATTTATAAATTTGAGTAGGTCCTTAACATAAACAAAATATTCTAAGATACCACGGCACACTACCTTATCCTACATTTTAACTATTTTTTTAATGTAGGTTCAGTTAAATTCAACAGTGTTGAAAATGTGCTATAAGGATTTCAAATAATAATGTAAAATTTGAGTTATGTCCTTCTATTAGTGGACTAATATAAATAATTTTTAATTATGTCATATTTCTCTTCGACCTTTATAATTTTTATAATGCAAGTATAAATGTTATATATGTATATATATATGCTAGTTTTTACGTTACTGAACACACGTTTATGTCACATAACATGTGTTTTATTAAACATATTATTTTTCAAAATATGCTTTTGTTAACATATTTTTATTTTGCTTTTGCATTTTTTAACGTACAAAAAAGTATACTTTTAAAAAGCTTAATTTTTGTTACTAAGTGGAAATAGTTTTCATTTATTCATTCTTAATGTTAACATTCATATTTAATAAGATCGAAATGGAAAAGGCCTTCCCCAGTATATATGCATTTTACAAAATTTCTGCAATAAGAACAAATGCATAAGAGTTTAAATAAACATTTTCAACACATCATCGGACATATTAAGTACAAATATGTTAGTATATACGGTGGTGGCGATAATATAAATGCGAATATTAGCTTACCCAAGAATTTTGATAAGAATACTGCTACTACAAGTTCTTGTTACAATTGGGAAAATGCTGGCTCTGTTTCAAAAAAATATATATAATCTG